ACGTGGTGTAGCACGTTGGTCAATAGAGATCTTCCACGCTTTCTTTCAGCTCGTATCGGCATGATCTTGACGTGGAAGATCATATTGGTGTTGCTTATTCTATGTGTACCGATGCTTCATTCAATGAGTGTATTCCCCTAACTTGCATTTCCAGTGTATGTCTCGAAGAATGAATATCAGCATCGCTCCTATTAGTTGATGGACGTGACATATTCCAGAAAGATTCTTCCTTCGAGAATAATACGACTAAGTAAAAATGCCGAAGATAAATGCATAGCTGAAGAGTCTGTATGACTGATCTCCAAGCTGGAGGAGACTTCGCTGGGATTCAGTTTGATATAACTCCACGGTAACCGATCCGATAACCCCGACTGCCTTCAGCTGTGTCCACCACTCTAGTAAAAACGAACATCACGTCCCACCAAAAATTATGTCAACGAGAACAGTTGTGGAGATAACAGGTATGAGGAGCTGTTCTAGCGTAATAAAGCACGCTGTTTACGAGTCGTGACTACACTATGTTCGGTGAGCTAAGCTAAAGCGAAACCGAACAGAGAGTTCCGGGTGGACTCCTCAACCCTGCACTGTCTTCGTGCGAGGAACTCACGAGAATTGGGAAGCCGACACGATCAGCTAGCAGGACACCAGCGATATTCACGCACGAGGGGATATCAAAAACCACGAATCGTGGGTTGTCGACGATAACTTATCGCATCCTATGGAGATTACCTTTAGCCTACTGTTATCATTCCTATGACTAGAGCAATCAGAGTCGATCCAAAAGGCACCAGTTGTACGAGCATACCTCACGGGAGGAGCTATCAGCAGGCGAAGAACTCGAGTAAATCTCGACCGGATTTCTCAGGTTTCCGTATGAGCAGGTCAAAAAATTCACTCACGGGGTGTAACCCAGACACATCAACAGACTGCCGCCTGCACTTGTGGCCTCAACGGACAAGGGACCAGATGAAAGTAGAATTTGTGGGGCAGGGCTGAAGAGCAGCCAAACTCCAAAAGGCTGCTGCTACTGGAATGCGTATATCGATTCTTTGAGGCGAATCCCTCGAATCGTCCCGCATCGAATTTCATCATCAGTAATTCGAGTTCTTCACACAATATTCGAAGTACTCCGCAATTTGAGAGTATATCGGATTCCGGGCCAACCTCCACTCACAACTCAGCGACACCTTCACAAATGAAATATGCAACACAGCATCACACGATGAAGAGCATGCACATGCTACAGAGAGGACTTATGACCCTGGAATTTAACGAGTGCCATAAGATTATCCTGGTTTAACGAATTTATCTGAGCTCCACGACAGCCGCATGGTCAACATACTCATACACAAGCGGAAGTGCATTCGTTGGCTCACCTGCGCTTCTTTATTGGCCATACTTGCCCCCAATGCTGTCAAGCTCTCCTGCAGGCTTTGTACGGTACGAACTGATTCGGCAATCTATAGGAAAACCGGAATAGGGCAGCATGTCTCCATCAGCAAACAGATCAGAGCGACATCAAAAAATTATGAGTTCCTGGTCGAAGAGCAATACCTATATTACGAACCATTATATTGTCAGAACGGAGGGCATTAAAATCACATATTGTCATCGAAACAACCGCCGAAAACTTAAAGGAAGATTTTCACGAGGGAGTGTACCTCGTCAATATTCACTCTCTTTATTTTCCTGAGGTTGGATATCTCCGCGTCTTTGTCCGCAAGTTCCTTCCGCAACAGCACAAGTTCATCACTAACAGCTACAAAGCAGAAGTAGATCAATCCGATACGGTCAGAGCTCACTGACTGTCATCACCGTCTCGGTTAGTGTTAGTGCAGCTGGAAGATTTCTGAGGAATTATTATAATTTGCGGTCTTTTTACTGACCATAATAGACTGGGGCCTACAAACTGGACTTACTGTATTGGGAACAGTGGACCCGTCCAGGTTCTCACCACATGCTAGCACGCCCACCTAAGATGTTGTAAAAGTCGATATCGTTATAGCCCCTGAATCTCGACGCTCACATCCACCATGCTGCGGTCGCCTTGCAACTTGAGTGTCTCAACGCGTCTCTCAGCCTCAGATAGCTGCTCGCGTAGGGCCCCAGTTTCTGCCTTGTACTGTTCACATGTAGTGCACGTTGTATCATTCGGCTTTGACCAGGCTGTCACAGACAGTGAGCATACCATGTGGACTCTGAACCCGAGCTTTACCCCCTCTCTCGAGCTCTATGCTGGCCAACTGCTTCTTGAGAGCGGCAATCTATACAAACAGGATTGTACAAACAAGCCGAGAAGGAAATTCCCTCGATTTGCTTTTCTAGTTGACATGTGTATTCCTCTCAAATCTCAGGCTCTATGAGATAAAACTGCCCTTTTCTCGACTGGACTACCCCGCTACACCCCTACACGAATGCGCTAGATTAGCGGCACGCGTGGTCGAGACGAGAAGATCCAGGATAGAGGGAAATACCCTCTTCGTTACCTCCAGCTGGTACTCTTCCAACTGGCTCTGCAGAGGAGACTCGTCAAGATGTGTATCGCCGTTGGCTGAGGGGCCTTCCTCCACTTGTGGCTGCTGTGGACAATGGCTGCTCTCTTTCTCTCTTCGGAGGTCATTCACCTCCCGAGTCGCCTGAGAATAGCTTTCAATGCTACGCTGAAGATGCTCAGAAGGACCAAACAGGATAAGGGTGTTGCGACTGCTCATATGAAAGCATCGGTAAAGGATTCTCATCCATAGAGAGTCACCTTGGGTCACTCACGAACAACTGTCGAATAATACATGTTTCTACGAGATTCAACTACGAACGGAGCCACGGCTATCCCACCGCAGCTAGTTCATCTTCCAGCGTGGAGATAATAACATCTTGTCTCGAGACTTTCATCCTCAGATCGTCAAGAACTGCCCCGTCATCATCGAACTAGACATGCTGGTTTCTTCGTGTCGGGCAGTTGCAGCCTGCTAGCAGTAGCACATCCTCTGAGATACAGGCGATCACTAGCTCAGCCGCATCATTGACTCACT